GTTCACAGCATATATGGACAGATTTGCTGACATAGGAGACCCTAAAAGTGCCATACCTGCCACCTGCCTGGACACCAGGGCATTGGAGTTTCGTTACCATGGAGGAAAAGTGGTGGAAGAGCTGGAGGAAGGCGTTTCACATGTTATTATTGCAGAGGCAACAAGACTTCTGGATTTGAGAACTCTGAGGCGCTGCTTTAGGAGGAAGTTTAAGATAGTAAAAGAGACATGGGTGACTGATTCAATCAAAGCAGGGCATGTGATGAATGACACTGAATATCTGGCTTGAAGAGGCTCTAGTACATTTAAATGGACACTCAGCATTTTTAATTTGTTCCTAATACGATTAGGAATAAACTCTTTAATAAAATCTACAGCATGAAAACTCCAACGACACTAATTCTCAGGGTTTTCAGTTTCTGTGAGTTTTGTCTTTTGTGTTCTTAACGAGACAGCTTATTATTAATTTTAAATGAATAGGCTGCTGACTGGTTTTTCAATTTCCAAACTCAGAATCATTATGAAGGGTTCAGATGCTTTTTGGGAGAATGGGGATGGGGGTCGGTCCTTCCTTCTTTCAGATTTTTAGCCAAGCAGTTATTAAAACTGTTTCTGCAGCAGAAAGGAGACTTGCCAATTAACCAGAAATGGAAGGTTTAATTCTGACAGTAATTTCGGTGAATGATCCACATTAGAGAGCAGCAGCAAGGGAATGCTCTGCCATAATAATCTGTCCATTGTGAAGGGGCGCTCCAGTGGTTTCATGTTTCACTTTAGCTAAGCTGACGGACTTGTGAGAGAGAGATTAAGAAAATAATGGTTCAAATTGAACCTGGAAAAACTGACTTGTGTTTTCCATGATTCCACAGTGTATTTGATTTGATCAACCTTAGCCTCTAAATATCCATTTTCTCCAAACCCATTGGGAAAACATCAAATCTGAGGTTGTTTAGCCAGTTACGTTTGGAGCTTTCCCTCCAGAGCCTAAGAAGACACTCAACATGATCATAGACTGTAAATGAAAGATGTGCATGGCCACTGCGATTTTTACTCATTGGTATCTAAAGTTCACAGCAAGCCACATTATTTTCCAGATAATAATATTGCTCCAAAAGGAACCAGCAGCAGGATTCTTTCAGTTACATACATGAATGAAGTTTTTGGCGATAGCTATATGTGTCACGTCTTACCCATATGGCTGGTGAGTTACTGAAACATTTACCTCCTGTTCAGTTGTCATAGAGGGAAAGAGTATCCATAGAGACCCAAACACTTTGTGCACCAGGCTGAAAGCATGATTTTTAATAATGTAGAGTTATAAATTTTAGATTTGAAGTTTATGGCGAGTTACCAAGAGGCAACATCCAGGGTTTAAAGATTAAGCTGGAGTGAAAATGCCGAAAACTACAGTTCCTCTAATGGCCATTTGATGCTGGCTCCAAAAGTCCACACTGACGCCCATGTTAAAATGCCCAACTTTACAGAATTACCACATCCTAGTAGAAAAATTTTATATAAATTTAATATAATCAATTCATTTGGATACTTGAATTAGAGGTGTCCAGATACAAGCCATCTGCTACCGTCTCACTTTCATTAATTGGACTTGTGTTTGCGTGTTACTGTCTGTGCCCTTTGTAATAGAAAGATGTGACAGGTAATACAACCTGCTCTGTGGTGCAAACTATCAAAGTTTGTGCTTCGGTTTTATTAGCCTGCTACTTGTGTGTTTGTGAATACAGCCTGCTACCATTAGCTAAAAACGTCTTCCTTTTGTCCAAGTACAGTAACTTCTGGCTCCACAAAAGTGATAGCCAGATGCTAATGTTGAGGCATCACAGCAGCTATATTCATCTTTGGGATTGATTTGCTTTTGGAACAAGTGCCACGTGGCTTTAGAGGAACTGTAGTTTTTGGCACTTTCACATGGCCTTCAATTTTCACCCTGGAGGTCGTTGCGTGTTCATGACAAGTGAAGACAGTTTCACGTGGTGTCCTTTAATGTAAGAAAAATGTCTTGAACTGTTCCTGTTTTTTGTGCTCTTGTGTCATTATGTATGAAGTACGACTCTAATAAATAATCCTGAAGGGGTTTGAAATACAATTTGTTAATAATTTTCTTAAAGACAACATCTGTGTGAAGCGATGGCCTTTGCCTCAGCTCTTCAACAAGGGACCACACGGGGGGTACGTTAAAATTGGCTCAGCTCAAGGCCCTCCAACAAAGATGTGGCCATGTTTTCCTGCCTTCAAAAATGTCACTGATGAGTCTTGGGAGTCTTTGATATGTTCTAACCTTCATTAGCATCATCTCTAAGGTGCAGGCAGCTGCCTGTGGCGCCCTGGGCTTTGTTATGTGTAAATGCCGCATGAATACATTTTTAAAGTATAAGTGATGAGACACCTCTTCCTAATCATATACTGTGAATAATGGCCTGTTGTTAACACGTTGTTAGATTCCCTGTAGAGTTGTTGCATAGTTTTGCGATTAAAATTCTATGCTTAAGATATTGATAAAGATTAAGGCATGTTTTTCAGCAGTCTTCTGCCAAATTTGTCAAAATAAGAGATAAAAACTGTCTTCATTAGTAGTTAAAAAAATATTATGTACTTCAATGTGCACTCTGTAACCCAACACCCACTCTGCACTATTTCCAGGTGATGCTGAGTGAGCGTTTGAGTGACAGGCTTTAATTAGAGGTACTCAACCAGCTCTTTTTCCTTGTGCAGTTTTGTGAGTACAAAGTGCTGCCATTGGTCCCCTAAAAGGACTCACAGGAGCAGATTATCAGTCCCGACGATCTGGAGATGCAAACATCTGCTGTAAATCCAGCATTGCTGAAATATGATGTCCCTAATGGGATAAATGCTCTCATTAGGCTGGCTGCAGCTTTTGGAGAGCTGCTACCAGCAGCAGCACCCAGGACAGAAGCAGAAGACAAATGGTTTGGAAGCAACTCCTGGACCACCAGTACTGCACGCACTCAGGGGAAGTTAATGAGCTAGTAATAAGACCAAACAGAGGTTCACGGCTGCAGGAAGGGTTTGTATGAGTCTGCAATTAGTACGGCCTGCCCTCAGTGAAAGTAACAGCCAAACACGGCAGTAAATCAAGCTCGGGTTGGTGCTTCCTATGGATGGCATTTGACTGCTAGTAGGTAAATTAGGAGACACGCCTTGTGTCTGGACAAAGCATCCAGTGTAAAAGTCTGCCCAATCAAATGTGCACTGTGGTGAATCCTTGTGAATAAGGGAGCAGCCAAAATAGGTTTGGGTAAATACAAACTATAGAGCACAGAGTAATGTGTGGTTTGATTAAGAAGAAAAAAAATGTAGACACATGCGTATGATGTCATAGAAAGCAGATCCCTAATATGGTCAGGTCAAGCACACATACAGCTACAGCTGTGAGCACAGACGGTTTGCTGTTCTGACCAGGGCTGGACTGGGACAAAAAATCGGCCCGGGCATTTTGACTAGAGACCAGCCCACCAGGAAAATTATAGGAAAAGCCATAAAGCCTTTGAATGAAAACAGACGCTGTTGTGACAGTGATGTACACTGTCTTGTTGGTATATGTATGACTTCTATACATTTTATGTCAGATAAAAACTTTGGTTGTAAGATTCAGATAATTATTTAATAAAAGCGAGACATTTTAAATGAGAATAAGAAAGAAAAGTATTTCTTTGTGGCCCCCTTTCCCTGTTAATGCCCTACATGGCCCCCTGACAGAACTTTGCTAGACCCACCCCTGCACAGTTACCAGCTGTCAGCTACACCGTAAAAAAGAAAAAGTTGAGAAAACTTAAAATTTCAAGGCAACATGATGCAAGAGATTTTTGAGTTTTCTCAACTTCTGCCAACTGTAGTTGACTTAACTAATATTTTCATGTTCTGCCAACTTGGATCTACTTGTTCACCTAATTAGGATAATCCTGTAAGTCTAACAAAGAAATTCTGGTTTCAATGCCATGTATTTCTGCCTTCACCAAACAAAGATATTCCTGTTGAATTAACATACAATTATTCCCTCCAAGGCCATGTATTCCTAAATTCACCAAACGCAGATATTCTTGTTGAATAATCATACAATTCTTACTCCAGTGAGTTGAAAATTTACCAATATAAATAAAGAAAAATGTATGCTGTTATCGTACTTGAAAAAACACTCAAACAGATATAGAATAAAACAAAGCACAACTGAATGTTATGTAAAAACTTATTTATTTTTTCAACAGTGCTTTCAGTATATTTCAGAAGGTCATGGGCAGTGGGGTGAATTTCTGTAAAAAAGCAAACAAACAGAAAAAAACGTGTTGCCAGTTTCTTTAGGGTGCTTTGAGCACCCCAGCAGAGACATTAAAATTCCAGAGTCCAGAAAAAAAGAAAAGTGTCCAGCAGCTTAGTCATTCACGTTCACACCCTGGCTGTCCTGTAAAAGCTTAACTTAACTATTGCACACTAAATAGGGTAGTGCAACAAACAATTGCCTATGTACCCAGACATCGACATTTTACATGGGCTTACTATGATGAACTACAGAAGTCAAAAGTTATTAGAAATGTTACCATCAATGAACAGCGAACTATCAGGTAAAATACCAGTTCCATACTTCAGGTGGAGTGAAAAACACTATAACAAATCTTATAAAATCCTACAAGACAAAATTTCACCATAGATTCTCAATAATACAGATTCATCTGACTAATATTTACATTTCAAATAATCCCTTATCCACTTCAACTTCATATTGACCGACCAGGTCAAAATGAACCATTCTGTTTTGACTGTTCCTTCTTTTCTCCCTTCTTCCTTTCCTCCCTCTTTCCTTCACTTATTCCTAATTAATTTTAACAGTTCAAACACTAAATATGGAACTCTTTGTAACAGGTGAACGATTATAGAGGGAAAGGGGTTGAACTACTGGGGGGTTTTTTTTGGTTTTTTTTACATGACTCTACAATGCACTTGAACATGTTTAAGAACAAGTTAAACTCATGTCTGGCTTCCCCATTAACAGTCACAGCAAAAGCTTTGTTTTTAGAGACCTTATGCGCTGTGAGCATCGAGAGCCACCGAGTTCAAAAAAGATGCCCTGAATTGCTTCAAAGGTATAACTCATCTGCTTTGGATAATCAATGTTGAGGGCATACAGAAGGCCAAAGAGGTATGCCAAGGCAGTAGAGAGGTCTGGAATGTTATGTAGCACGATGTCCCCTTCCAACACAACAGCATGTTCTCGCACAGACGTATCGGCATCGTCATCTTGCAGGATGGTGAGGATGGCAACTGATGCACCGTTCAACACTGGTTCCAAAATGTCAGTGTCCTGAAGAGAAGAAAAGTAAAATATGAATTATTGAAAGCTAAGAAAAATTAAAGACAAAATACATTTCTAAAGATCTTAACTTTAACCTCTATACCATGATGCTCATTTGACTCATGGAGGTTTTAAAAAGAAAAGCTTATTTTCCTTTAATTAACAGCACAATATCTTTCACCAACCAACCTTGTGATGAGTTTTGTACAAAAATATTTTCTGCTGTTGAACACCCACTAACAATGCCCAGGTGCTCCTCAGCAGAAAAAAAAGCAGCGAGAGTTATGACAACTGCAATCCTCACCATAAAATTATCTGGACTGCACTGAGGAAGTGGACATTTCCATTTTGGATTAAATCATCTTTTAAAAACATCTCATAGCAATTAGTTTTGCTTGCATTACTTTTTTGTACTTACTAAGCACTTCAGGAAAACCTGTGTTGCATCCTCTCTGAGGAAAATGGGCAGGCCTCTCAGTGCTGCTGTCTTTCGGTGGGACACAATGTCAGATGTCTAAAGAGCATTCAGTGGAAAACAAGCATTTAAATTAGTATAGTAACGTGGTGTACCTACACACAATGCAAAATCAGAACTCTTATAGTAATGAAAATAAAATACAGATCAGGCCCAGCAACATGTAAAACTTAAAAAAACAAAACACCATTTTAACGATTTTACTTTCTTTTTACAAATTAAATAAAATACCGCCAAATAAAAACAAAGTAATGACTGATTACATTCATTTCCATTGATGTGTTTTGGCTGAAGCCAACATTTTTTTCTGTTATGACAAAGGTATACTCTCTTCTAAAAATGTCAGGTAAAGGAGCACTTACCTGTTCATCAAGTTTATCCAAGAGGTCTTCCATGTCCTCACCAAGAGCTCCCTTCTTAGACCGGTATAGTTTCAGCAGGCCAGGCACAAATTTGTTGAGGGATGCATTGAACGTCCCTAGGAGGTCTTTGCTTGTGATCCGATGAAATTCTTCAGATATCTAAACAAGACAATAACCAAAATATTGCCATTTATTCAGCACAGAAAATTTCTGGGTAGCTGCCTTGTACAGTCTGCACCATGTTATATGCCTGACTGTGTTATCAACCGCAAAACCTACTTCAAAAATCTCTCATGAATACACATTTTGCACAGGAATAGAAACACCCTCCACAAAAAACAGTATCAATATGCAAATACATATTATGTTCTACGTTGCACCAAAATCTGTGACGAATCAGATTATGTGACCTGCCTTAGTATTCTTTCCCTAAAAATCTCAGTCTATAGAAATCCTATTTCCAGCACTAAAATAAAAAAAACATACATGCTAAGTCAAAAATTATGTGATTGACTTTCTGTTTCACAGGAAGAACAATTTTGATTTAGCATGGGGACTCTTTTCTTGTACTGGCAGAAATGTTCAGGGTAAGAATATTATGACAGGTCAAATAATCTAATGGGTCACAGATTTCAATGTGGACTGGTTGCACAAGGTATAATAAAGTTGGCCAATGCATTACACCAGCAAATACTGTACTACTTCAATAATAGTCCATCTAGTATAAGTCATGCCCAATTTGAATAATAATTAAATTATAAATAAATTTGGACACTCTTACCTCCTCAGAGGAAAACAGCCCAGGCCATCTCTCCTGGACCTCAGATACCATAGGTTGACACTCCACAACCTCTCTCCGCCTGAGAGAAAATGTCAGCGCCATCTTCTGCTGTATGACTTTCAAGTTCTTTTGTTTCTTCTTCATTTCACTGACCAGAGCAACTCTTTCCTCTTCAAGAGTAGAATCATCATGGTGCTGTGGATAATCTGGGACATGATTGACCTCTCCACGTTTGGGCTTTTTAAGGGTGAAAGGACTGCTGGCTTCATCTTCTCCTTTCCTTTTCCTGTTTACATTTACTTCATTGCAGCCTGCCCGACGAAGCTTTGATCTGTAGTTTCCAAGTTTGTGCTTGATACTTGCTTTCCATCCCTCGTAGCCTGTGATGCTACCTGGCTCCTTCAGGCATGGATATTTGAGAACCAGTGCAGAAGCCACTGACTCAACCTCATCTTTCTCAGGGTAGGCTTTAATTTCAAACACTGCCTCTGCAATTTTATCCAAAATCTCCATCTTCATGTCTCTTGTTACTGCAAGGCCCTTCTTAGATTTTTCATATGTCACATTAGCCTTACACAATTTCAGTTCAACATCATGTGAAAACTTGGGAATAGAAAATGGAGAGGGCCACTCTGACACATGTCTTAAGTTCATCTGGATAGTATCGGTCCAGCTAGGCCTGAAATCATCAGAGTGCACACTTATTGTGTCCTGGGAAGAGACTGAAGCAGAGGACACTGAAGCAATGGATTGGTTAAGTGTAGATGAATCACAGTTCCACATTATATGCAGGACTGCACGCTCAGCTGGTAATTCAGATATTGCTGTAAGATTGCATATTGCATTTCCGAAATCTGGATCCTCAAACTGTAGTGAGAAGTCACCTGCAAGTTCAAGTCTTTCTTTAAGTATATCAATCAATTGTCCCACAGATGCTGGTACTTCAGGAAGCTGGACTCGCCGGGCTTCTCTGGAGGAAAGAACTACCCGAAGTAACAAAGTCTGAAAAGAGGAGAAAAAAAAGTTGGCAGAAAATCAATAGCCAAACACAATTAGAAGACAGTTGACACCTATACCATACAGCTGCCTTTTTCCAGATGAATCTGCTGACTACATTTGATTTGCAAATGATTTAGTCTACAAATGTAAAAAACACACACACACAAAATTTTTTTAAATAAAGCTCAAGTCTATATCCAAGTTTTCATTTTCTTCAGCCACTGTACTCAACTGGCCTACACTTGGGAAAACCTTCAATTCATTCAGCACAAAACTAATGCTTAATGAGGAGAAAACAAAGGAGAGAGAGATAATTTGGTGAGGATAGCAGAGTGATAGAAGAAAGAAGTGTGTGGAGAAGAAAAGAAAAAGCAAGGGGAAATGAGTTTTGAAGTAGAGTACAATAGAGAAAAAGGGTGGGTGAGAGGGGAGATCAGAATAGGAGACAGGGTGGAGGGGAGAGAACATACCATTATAAAGTTGCTTTAATAGAGAAGGTACGTCCTTGGGGTCACCATCAGCTTTCCACCAACTGTGTATGCTGTTAGAGGGTGATAATCCGTCAGCACATCTGGATCCAGCACAAGAAGGTCTGCACAGGTGTGTTCAACAAGCTCATAGGACCTGAAATGTTCAATGTACCAGGAACTCAGTCTTTTACAAATGAATGTCACCTCCTCTGCATTGACAAGAATGGTCACAATCTTGTGGAATTCTGGGAGGCCACTGCATTGCCCAGCAGATAAAATCATGCCCGCCACATACTGTGTCCCAAAAAAATGAACGGTTTTAGACAGAGACACACTGTCTAGATGAGGGTACTTCTTTTGTATTTCACACTTGATTGATGGATCCAATTCTGAAACCCTGACCACTTTCACATTGTCAACATAGAGCTTTGGTTTTAAAAGGTTCCCACTATCCAGATGGTATGCCATCATTTGCTGGTGTTTCAAGGAAAGAGTTAGCAGCACATTTTTCCAGTTGTGAGTGTCATGGACCACCTTTTTAAAGAAGCTATGTTTTGCTTCAAATCTCATCGTCCACAATTCCACTAACGGCCCATAGCAGCGTATAAGATGTGGGTAGTGGTCAATGAAGTGGTGTTTGGCCTTAGTCTGAAGTCCGGAAAGGTACTGGTAAGCAACAAGCGATGATCCAGTAGTTTGCAAGATAAATAACACAATGCTTCCTCAGTGAGTCTGTTTGAGACAACAATGTCAACAATTTCCTTGAGGTCCATTAAAATCTCCCAAGCTGGCTCCTGTTCTGGTATCTTACATCCAATTATAAAAGGAAGTAAGCGCAGCAGTGTCCAATTTTCATGTCCATTACCAAAAACTGTTCCTTTCTCAAAGCTTGTTTTTGGAATTTTTTGAGGCTTGTTTACTTTGTCCGAATATTTGTAGGGAAATGATTTTATGAAGTTGTTTAATGTATCAAATGTAATGAACCCTTTTGAGATCAGCTTTTTTAAACATAAGGACAACTCCAAAGGAATGACGCCTTCAAAAAGGTCATGCAAAATATCTGGAGGAAATCCGGTTATTGGGTGAAAGAATAGTAAATGTTTGCTCAGTACACATTCCCTTTTTACCCCATTAACACTTTGGAGGTTGTCAGTTTGCCTAAGCTCTTCCAGAAATGAATTGTGTTGATCAACACCCCTCAATTGGAAGTCATTAACTTCAGTCGTTGCAATTTTGTCCCGACTTATCAAACAAAAGCGACAGAACTTGTCAACAGTAAAACTTTCATAAAAGCCTGCCAGACCATGTGCACCAAGGTTATCTGCGCTCACACAATATACAGTGCCCTTAATAAACTGGCTTACAACTTCCACAAAAATTCCCTCTTCTTCTAGACACCTTATATCTTTAATCAGTGGCTCAAAAAACTTTTCATAACCATATTGTTTGACATCCACACTTTTACCTAAGAGAGCAAGCTGAATTGAACAAAGATTAGATCGAAATCTGGGTGGTAAATTAAGAACTACCCAATATACTGCAGTAATCTTGTGACGTTTTCTAGAGGTGCCCAGTGGGTTACAAACTTCAAAATCATCAATATACAACCCCAAACTGATACATAAGTTTTGTTGTCCCAGTAACTTATTGCCCTTGTAGTACTTGCCGTCTTGAAATGACTTAAAGTGTCCAGATAAAGCTTCTTGATTAAATACAATTTGGTCCAAAAAATCTACCCGTCCCAGTAAAGTCTCAAGTATCTTAGTGACAGATATATAAACAAAAGAGTTTTTATGAGCTGTGTTGTACAGATACTCTGTGGGTTCTACAACAGAAAACTGCTCTTTGAAATATATATTCCTTCTGTGATCTGTAGATAGGGAACCTTTCTCCGATGTTGTTAAAAGCAGTGGATTAGTTTGAACTAGGGCATTAGAAATGTCTTGCAAAACACAATCATTTACTTCTATTTCATGCTTTGAAAGGATCTCTTTTACACTGGTGAGAGTATGAATGTTAGAGAAAGAGAGCAGGTTATGGAAATCCTCTACAATCTTTTGTGTTGCAGCTCGAGAAACATGCAACACTGTTTGCATACACAGAAAGAGAGATGCCAGTTTGTGTTCAAGTGTCTCACTATCCACATCCTTTACAATCTTGTCAAGCTCATCTGGTCTCACAAAATTATAAGCTGATGTTCCTGCTTCACAATCAGATTGCTCACTTTCAATTATCTCATCTTCAGAAACAGTTCTTGCAATTGTTCGAAAATCCTCAAGTGTACAATTTTTATGGTTTCGACTTCTGTGAGAACTGAAGGTTGGGCGAATGTTTGTTTTAAAATTACACCTTAAAAAGGGACATTGTACGGTTTCTCGGTTCTTTAAATGATGTCCAAGATGGTTCCAAAAGGTTTTCTCACTGCAAATCTCCTTAAAGTCACACAATTCACACTGAAATGTGGAATTTTTGTGGATTTTTACTATTGAGTGTGACCTTGAGAGGTGTGATCGTAATGCTCCAGGTGTTTTAAATACACATACACAGTCTGTGTGAATGCATGGCCAATGTGCACCTTGTCCGTGATGAAGGCGGAAATGTTTCAAAAGAGTCTCTTGACTGGAGCTTGTGAATTTGCAAAATCGGCACTGCATGAAATCCACCCCTGAAACACAAGAGACATAGTCAATTTTGCCAAAAGCACTTTTGCAATGGGATAAAACATCCATATCTAACACACAGAAGGAATCCATAGATGCAGGAGCTGAATACATCAACAAGCCAAAACCAGAGACATCATGAAAAAATATGTAAGGAATCATATTAACTTACATATGACCACTTGTCTACTATATCAAGTATATGATTGATAACATACATGACATGTAACATAAATGCAAGCTTGAATTCAAACATTTTTTTGTTACTATGATAAAAAAATGCAATAACTATAGAAAAAAATAATACTATCTGTAACACAATATACATCAGCAACACACAATCATTCCTTAAATATTGTCTCCTTCCCCATTATGTAAAAAGCTCTGAAAATGTAGCAATCTTATAATACAGAGCATGAAGTACAACTTTAATTTGCGTGTGACATTAACTTACAGTACATTAGGCAATCTTACACCAGCTGACAAACTGTCAAGTCAGCTTTAAACATTACTTTAAAGTAACAGTGCTGCACCGGATAAACGGTGACTATTGAAAAAGTGAAAAAACAATATTAGACAATATGCAAGTTACTTATATCACTGTCATATAATTGGCGCACATATCCTACACCGACCCATGAAAGCGTCTCCATGACAACGCGTGCTTGGCCCAGTTTGTTGTCAATGTTAACATAACGTTTTCATGCAAAGATAACATTGAAACTGGTTACAAAACGGGTAATAAGCTAATAAGTTTTACCATGGCAGAAGTGCTGTAAAAAGCCAGTGTGAGATACCGTCATTTAGTGATGTCTGTCTAAATATCAGAGTGTTTAACATTAAACATTACTTTTTGCGCTGGCCACTACTCTGAGCTAAAGCCTTCAGAGGCTGCTTGTAGCCCGATTACGACACAGTGGCGCGACGAAGGCTGCCCAAATTCATAGTGGACTCCTCTAAATTTGTCCGAGAAATACGTCCTCCTTATAATAAGCATCTCTTAAAATGTTTGCAATATTGAAACATTTCAATATAATGTAGAAAAAAAACGAGAGAAAAAAAGTTACGGATCGGACTCCCCGATCCTTATTGCGCATGTGCAAATTCTACCTGTGGAATTAGTTTTAATATTACTCTTTCTGGGTCACAAAATAAACTTTTAAGATATTTTCAGGCGTTAATGTAGCTATGTAAATTGCTAATATCTGTTCAGTTTATTAAGACAACATATACTTGCAAGAGTGCGCCGACGCTTTCGGAGACGTCTGTTACCCACCAGCTCGATAGCTAGCCAGGGGGGAGGGGGGGTCAATTAAGTCACTTAGATAACTTAAAAATGCTATTGTTGGCCTTTTTCAGTGTTTTACTAGTTCCATTCTCCCGGGTCCTCAGGAGGATGCAGCCTAGGCGCTTGTAGAAAATCTTAATAACACATGTAGTTAGCTTACCTGCTAGGGTAAATGGTCGGAGCTCCAGCACCTGTCCAAAAGAATTATACACTCCAACTGCAGAAGTGAAAATCCTCAATGGTCGAAAAATTGCAATTTGCATCCAAATCCAGCCACGATGGTTCAAATTTTCTTAGGAGGTTTTTAGTCTAGAACACATGGTAAACCACTATCACACAGCTCAGGTCTGCTCAGGCTCAGTTGAAAGTCCGTTTGGTTTAGTTCAAACTTGTTCAGACCACATGTGCCAGTCATCTACGGGGTTTCCCACTGGTTCCCAACTTGACTCAGAAACTCTGCTCAAAAGTTGA